CCAGACGTTTCGGAGTTAACCCAGAACAAAAGCGACAGCGACAGACAAAAAAATTAAATGCCATTTTCGTTATTAGCAACGTAAGAACATCATCTTCCCGATATCTGGAATTTTTCCTTTGATATTATAGACACTCCAATTTTATTATATGTCTGCCTCTTTCTTCCAGAAGCCAATATCTTTGGATTTCCCTCCAACAAAAAAAGTTATCAAGTATCAAAACAAAGTAGACGTGCTATATCGTAATCTATTTGTGTTACCATATGACGACGACAGTTAGTTATTTAATCGTTATTTAAAGAATAGCTTAGTAATATTTAATTCTGACTAAAATATTTGTCATATGCCCTTAACGAAATGATGGGGACATAGACAAGAAAGTGTTAAGATTGAATGTGGATGGCTACAAAAGAAGAGGAAGACCGAAGAAAGTATGGATGGATTGTGTAAAAGAGGATATGCTTAAGAAAGGAGTGGATTCAGATATGACGGCTGATAGAGATGTATGGAAGAGCAGCACATACTGTGCCGACCCTCCATAAGGGATAAGGGCAAGTGGATGATGATGCCCTTAACGAGATAGCAAGTAATTTCATGATTTAAGTAATTTTTTTTTTATCAGATTAAATCTACACTACATGTCTCTCTTACTTGACAATATACGAGAAGCTGTCAAAAAAAAATCTGTTTAAATTTTCCTAAACAAAAAATACTGTATTCCGAATGAAAACTGGTCGTTCCTGAAATTCCTGAAAACCTGAAAGTTTACCTGGAATACGTAGCGAAGCTGACTTTACAGATATGACAGGTGAATGGATTCTTAACACCTTTGTGGATAACTCGATGACTGTTCAGAGCTTCCTCTAAATAGAAAACACTGCAAAAATACGGTACCAATTAGAACGAACCTTTGACTAAACTATCGCATAACTGTTTAGTCTCGCTCACCTATAAGCTTTTACTCGATGTTTAGTTGTACAACTAAACAGTTGAAGGCTGCGAAACAACCGACTATCGGACAACTGTCGTGCGATAGTTTAGTCAAAGGCCCGCTCTTAAAAAGCAAAGACAAACCAAACGCTAAAGCTACGTTATCACTTTATTTCAAAATAAAGCTATTTTCACTATTTTTTTAAATAAAATAGTGGATTTATTTGTATTATTAGATTCAATCTTTACGACAGCTCGTGTCCGTCCGATAGGAGTCTCTGTGTTTCGTACTTTGGTGCTGGCATAAAGTTTGCATATATACATACTCTTCACAATACTCGCAACGGAAAGCCTTCTCAATCTCGACTACACGTATGATGATTTTAGCGAAGTCTGTAAGTGTCGCCAGCAGCGCGTCCCCCTCCGGTCCGCACTCCATTTGTGGGGATTTCGCTAAAAATGCATAGTATAAAAAAATACCACATTCATATCTACTCTAATATAATAAAGCGTAAACACACACTTCGTGACGTAAGATGTCAGCAATCACAGTATATTTTGGAATACATTTTTCTTTAATAAAATAGCCCTGCAATTACAACACGCTATAGGCTATATATTTTCACGGTGTTAAACTTAGGGGGTGAGTAATTGAATAAAAAAACTTCATGTGAACGGATCTCGATAAAATTTGGCACAGATTTGTTTTTTAATACCAAGCGGTCAGAGTCACGGGAGAAAGCTAGTAGATTTATATTTTAAATTTTCAATATAAATATTATTGGTAAGTATTTTGTACATATTACAATTTACTTTTTAAATAATTACTTGCCTAGAACTGTAATACTAAAACTTACCAACAACCGCGACAGTGTGTGTGACCAGTCCAGTGGTCGGGGACAGTAGTACAGCTACTTCGTTCTCTTCTTTCACAGCTGGACTTAGCTGTTCTATGCACTCTTTTGATTTGTTAGCGTGGTCCTGTATT